TTGCAGTTGAGCCAAAATACATAAATGAAGGGAAATGAGACTGTTTTGATTATACTGTGACCTCATCCAAGAGACTCTGTGTGCCACCTCAACTGTTTTTGTAATCACTGTTAATTCAGTATCACAGGAAACTGGTCTGCGGAGATAGGGGTTTGCAGTGTATCAACCTGCCATCAAGACCTCTTCTGTTCATAGAACCTGTTGTTTAATGCTAGACTGCCTTTTCATTGGCTTCATAAAAGCAAGGTTTAAGACTGGCAGGTTGCTGCTAAATCTGCCTCATCTCTCTTAATATCTGTATGCCAAATCATGGCCATTATTCGTTCTTTGGTCAGCTGGTTTAGCTGCAAGAAGGCATTCTTTCTCCTTTCATCTTTAGAATTCACTTGCCAGGCGATTAGGGGGATTTGTGTCTGACAGTTAAACGACCTGATGGTACTCGCCTTGCAGAAGCAGTGAGATCTAGATTCTTTTTGTTCCATTGATGTCTCCTCGTGTGTTGGGAGTCAACCAGGGCTTGGAGTCGGGAAATCTGGACTCTATGTCCACCACGTATCTCCTGTGCGACAGGAGATGAGCAAGTCCCTTAGTGTGATACCTCTAGAGTAACGTAGGTAGAACAGTGCTGAGTGCTACCACCTAGAAATGAGTTAGAGTCATCACGCAGTGGGGGAAGATGGAGGGAACTGAAACTGTGCCCTTCAGGAGCGTGTCTGAACCACTCGGCTAGAGCTGTCTGGGGTGAGTGGAATAAGTTATACTTTCTGTTGGTGCTGGACTGCTCTGCAGCCAAGAATTCAAGATATACCGGGCCGAAGAGAAAATGCAGAAGTTAGCCTGACTTTGCAGCCAGGTGACTAGGACACCACTGGGAGAGGTTCGATTTCAGGCCTTCTGGTTCGTGCTGCTTGTGACTGTTTACTGCAAACAATAACGTGATAGCTTTTGAAGGGAATTAGATAAATAAGAAGAGAGAGTTCAGGCTGGGAGGTGACGGGTGATGTTGGTATTGATGAGGATGCCACTCTTAGATTTTGAGTGTCCAAATTCCCCAAAAGTTGTTCAAGTTCCGAATTTTCTCTTTTGTCTGTATCCCAAAGGGATGAGATCTGCTTACTTCTTGGGAATGCTAATTAATGTTTGTCTTATACTCTGAAATCCTTCCTACCTACCTAGCCTGGTAGGTAGGAATGAATTTGGGGAAAGAACTACACAATGTGAAAGCTGACATTGTATATCATTATTTTGCAGCATGGATCAATGTGCCTAGAAGGGCTTAGATGATATTTTTCTGAAATAGGATTGGCTTTCTTCTCATGTAAAGGAAAAATGGAGGAGAATGAGGAGAAAAATATATTAATATTTAAGCTTGTTTATACAATAAAAATATATATTAACATTATGTTAATATAATTAATATTTTAATATTATTAATATATTAAGATCTGCAGCTCAACCTGCTTAAAGTGTTCCTTGCTCCCATGTTGGAGCTCTCTTATTTAAAAAAAAGTGAAGGACATTTTGATAAATTATGCTGGAGAAGGCGTTCAACTGGAGAAGGAACCAAAATACCCTATAGTGAACTAGTCCCTGAAAAGAAAAGTCTCTATCTTAGAGATGTGTGTAGGATCAGCAAGAATTAAAGTTGGGTTTGCTTGGTTCTCCTAACCACTGCTAAATTTGGTGTATATTTGAACAGTATGGGAGTATGAGTGATGCAGAGCAGATGGAAAGCCAGAAGCAAAACTTCTGGCTCCTATGGGATGTCTGTCTCCTGTTTCCTTTTTCTTGTTACAGAAGTTGGTAACTGCGAAAGTAGTATTTGACTTGGGACTCACCGCACACAGGTGCTTGATATATTTGAGATTTTATTCTGTTAAAGCCAAACTGTCAGACTTCATGAGAACACAGAGGATTCAGTGTGCCTTAGGGTGAAGAAAGGTTTATCTGATTTGTTTCTTAATGAACAGATCAGTAGTAGATTAGGTTTCATGAGGATGTTTTCAAAAGGAAAGTGGAAACAAATGTTTTCCACATGAACGTATGGATTAGTATAGACCAGATTTAAAAAAAAAAAAAATCTCGTAGTACCATTTCACTGGAAGACTGAAACACCTTGACAAGGCAAGTCCACCCGAAGCCAGATTTGCATGTTTTATCTATTTTTGCTTTTTTTTTTTTCCTATCAGCAGTGCTTGTGACACCCCTATAAATCCTTGGGTGCAATCCCGTAGTGGTTAAAGTATACTAATTCCACATGTCTTCTCCTCCCCCTGCTGCCCTGCACCCTTCTGAAGCATCTAACAGCAATCCCAGGTCTCCCTCCTCACAGGAGAAGGTTCTGCACAGCCATCCTGGAAATAAGCTGTGACTTCCATGCCCTCCTAAAGAGTATAAACGTTCCTTCCTGTCCTCATTACTGAATTCTTGCAACAACTTTGCTTTGCTTAAATGATTTTTGGGTCCAGAACTTAAAGGTCACTGTGATCTTTCAGCATCTTTTCTCCACGTTTCACACGATTTGGGGCTGCTGTTCTATCAGCAGACTCATGAGGAGTCTGGTTCCTCGCTTCTTTGCTCAGGCTGTTTCTATCTGTCCCTTGTGCAAAAGGAGTCACGTCTTCAGCCGCTTCTCTCCCTGTGCTTTTTACCCCCTTTCCTGAGAAAACTGCGAGTCATGCAAAGACTGCTTTTCTGTCCGTCTCCTAGCTCCTGACAGAAGAGAAGAATGTTGTTGTTTGGGAGGCAGTCTCTCCTTTGGTCCAAAGGAGTCAGTTGGTTCTTCGTTCCGATTTATCACCTATGCTGGCATATTGTCTGAACAGGCAGATGAATGAATGTTTTCGAGCACTGCACTGTCATCTACATCTGTAAATTAAGAAGTCCCAAGTTGTTTCCATGTTGCAGCGTGCCCTTCCCGCTGGAATGCAGCAGTTTCTTTCTCTTTGTCCATGATTCTTTTGCTGTGATTTTTGCTTGTTAAATTTTAGTTGGTTGCAGTTTCATCTAGGTTTTAGTTTTAGGACATAAGATCAGTGATTCACCTGTGATAAAACAGTTAGCAGATGCTTTCCTTTTCCTTTCATTAATTGTTCTAGAATAACATTTTCATCATTAACAAATATTTCGTTAAATGGAAACATTTGGTTGTTCCTTTAGTACAAATTTCTTTCTGAGTTAATTGCAATGCAGTTTAGAATATGTGCTGTCATCATTTTCCAAACCATTTTATGGAACCGAGCTTTGATAGAGGTGTGATTGTGAACAAGCATATACTGAGATGTGCAGCCATCTTGAACTGTGCTCGTTGCCTCCGAACCCAAAGCCATCTTTCCATCCTTGTTTTCATCTTAAACTCATTTATCTGTGTGACTGTCCGGATCCTTCAGATTCCTCATACATCTCTTGCAGTGCAGTTTTCACTGCTTTCCAACTAAATCTCAGAGTCAGCGTATCATCCTCATCCTTCTTGACTTTAGCCTTGCTTCAGCACAGCCATGTCATGCTCTTCTCTGCAGTCTTGTCATCTCCTGATTTGCAGGAGCCTGTCATCTCCTGTTATGCTTTTGTCCTCATAATCTCTGGTTCAGCTAATGCTTCTTGTCTCCTCTCACTGCCATCTCAAAAAAAAAAAAAAAAAGCTGGATGGGTTCTGTAGAGTTTTGTTCTTGATCTCTCTTCCCCAGCAGTTCACTAGCTCAGTGTTGTAAGTGGGTTTACAAGCTCTGCAGAAGTTCAGTTGTTTCTGCTGCCACCTGGGAGTTCAGCTGCAGCAGGACACATTTGGGTTTTGCAGTTTTTAGTTTGTCATCGTCATCAGCACAAATCTGATGGCTGTCTTGTGCCAACTCTCAAAACTACCTCTGCCCCGGATGTGCCTCCCTTTGCCAGCCTCAAATTCCAGCATATGATTTTTACCCCTTTTCCTAAACACACCTAGGCACAGTTAGCGTAGAGAATGGCTAATATGGGCGTCTCTGTATTCTTCATACACCCTCAAGTTTTTCACCTGCTTAAACTCCTGTACTGGTATTGCTTCTTATATTGACCAGTGTTTCCCTCATAGTCCCCAAGAGGTCCTTACTGCCTTCAGCTTTGCTGCCTTGTAGCTTTCTTTGACTCAGGTGGTCACTGGAGTATGGACCAACTTTTTGTGGCGTTTATACATAGCTTACCAGAAATGGATTTTGATCTATAGCTACGGCTTTTAAGGACTTGTATAAACAAGCAATAATTACTCCTGTGTCCTCAGCTGCACATGGTTGTGATTTCAAGCGAGACAACTTTCTTGGTAGGGAGAAAAGTGAGGGAGAGAGGGGCTAGCGTGCCTATAGTTATTACTGAAGGTGCATAAAGATGACTGTTCTAAATTCTATTTTGTTTTGTTTTGTTTTATTTACTTATTTTATTGTGGGCAGATAACGTTCACTTACTGTTCTTTAAATTTAGCCATCTGAGGCTGATGATGGCTTATTTGTAGTACTTCTCTATAAATTAGATATTTTTGCTCAAAATAAACTGAAATGGGAGAGTGACTTAAAGAAATGCTGTCAACATAAAAATTGCACCCAGTCTAGAGAGACTAAAATGAATACTGCTGGTATGGAACGAAATCAAGGGATTTTTTTCCCCCTCTTCTTTCAAGTTTACTGTTGGCACTGAGTAGCACCTTTTTATAAGAAATTTCATCACATATTCAGTCCACAGTGGAACTTTTTTGAGTCTTCCCTGAAAATGTGTTAAGGGATACATGTTTAAAAATGTGTTAGTAAAATAAAAAAAAAGAGAGAGAGAGAATTTGGGGATCACGTTATTTTGAATCCTTTATAAAAAAAAACTAACAAACTCCCCAGAAATAAACCTGAGTGTAGTTTAAGTTGCCTCTGTTTCTTTACTGTCCTTTTTCTACTCCTATATTTTATATTTCCATTACAATTTTTTATGTTGTCCAACTTTTAACTGAACATACAAATTTTAAAGGAGAATATTATTTTTTTCAGAGTGTTGGGAAGAAATTACCTCCAGCCACAGCAACTCAGGAGCCAACAAAAATAGAAGTGGACAGCAGAACAAAAAGTAGGTTTCACCATTTCTTTTTCTTTGCACTTTGTGCTATTAAGCCTCTTAAAAGCAAGCTGAGCATTTTTTTCTTTAGTTTTGTCTAAAAGTGTGTTCTGTATATCTGAAAAGTAAGGAGGCAGTTAGATATATTTAGGATAAATTTTGAGGAGGCAGTACGAAGACAGAGTGCTTTGTTTCACAGAATCCTCTGGTTTTTTTTCTTTTTTTTTTTTTGCTCTGATATCCTACCTCGAGTTTTCTGCCACCAAAAATCAAACAAAATTATGTCATCAGATTTCAGCCTTGAGAGTACTTCAGAGTTAATCAGAGTTGAATAAGATCCAACTTCACACTGTAACTTGTAGGTGGTACGTCGTAGAAAAATATCCCTAGTTGTGAGTGCCCTTCCTTTTTTCCTTTTTTTTCCTCTTTTTACTTAGCTGAAACAATTTGTGGGAGTGGTATAGTTTGGGTAGGAAATACAAATTAAATAGTGGCCAAGAACCTCAGGGTTTTTCTGTTTATCTTGATGCTTAGAAGAACGAAAAGCGATAATTAAATCTCTTAGGAAGGTCTCAATTCTCTTTTGTGGAGTTGTATGTAATTAGCTTACCAAATAACTTATGTATGTATTCCCCATCCTTCGGCTTTATTTATATGAAGTTACACCTAAATGGTTTAGGGTTTTTGGTAGAAAGCAATAGGAGGGAAGAGAACATAGCTGTATCTTAGCAAAGAAATTGATGAAAATACAAAACGTTGAGTTTCTGAGTTAAATTCTTGTCTTATCCATGTTTAAGGATCTTCTGGTTTCACAGGTAACAATTGCTCAACCTCTTTATATAAAGGTGACAGAAATAAATCTCCAGTCTATTCTGTGTTGCATAACTTTGCTCGCAAAAAAGGAATCTCATCCATCACCTTGCTGCTCCGCAGTTGTTTCTTTCAAGATATGTTCGGTTCATCTTAGTTACCCAACCATTTATGTAGCTTTAAAATGGTCCGGGAAATGAAGTTTCTGTTTCCCTTTAGGAGTCCGTATGAAAACTTAGGAGATTTTGGCCTTATCTGTAAGTTATGTTTTCCTGCGCTTTAGTTCACGTGATGCCTCTATTTATAAACTTGCACAATTCTTCTCCTTCCTTGCTGTGTTTATCCTTCCAGAGAGTTAACCGATCACATTTTCCTTTGGACTGAAATACAGACAGAGGAGGGGAAGGATCTGGAGTAGGAGAGAAGGAGCTGCCTGAGGAAAGTGTCTGGTGAAGAGAGTTTTACTGCCTGTTTTCAGCTCAGAGTGGCAAAAGCAGCTTAAAACAGCTTAACGAGTTCTGTCCATTAGCTGCACCGCAGTAATTGACTTGCCACATCCTCTTATCTCGTTCCCCTTGTGACGCAGGGCTGTTAATGGGAAGCGCTGCGCGCGCTCAGTTGCCCTGAGCAAGGGAGAACTTGAAATACTGCAAAATGTGCAAACTACTAGCACGCTCCTGACTCGGGGCGGGGGGGGGGGGTGACTCGGGGTGGGGGGGGGGGGCTTCGCCGTTATCTTTGCCCGCCCGCAGCTCGAGCAGGTTAAGCTGACCTAAGTGCTGGCGCTATCAGAAGGGGTGATCGCAAGGGCTCTCCCGCTTGCAGCGCTAGCCCTCGGGCGGTAAAGCCATGATGGGAAGCAGCTACCTCTTTCCACATCAGCTCACACTTCTGGCTGCCAGAACTGCTCACCGCGCCACATATGGGGATTTCGTGTTTGTTCCATATATTAAAGAAAAAGTGAAAATCTTCTGAGCAGTGGTAGGACAACTGTGCCTTCTGCATGGACGAGTTTGGGCTCTGGTTGGTTCTGCTTTCCCCTCTTTTAGTTATTTCCCTGGGACGTGCCTTTTTGATCAGAAAATCCCCCTTCTTCTGTTGCCTTCCATTCTCACCACCTGGGTGTGCAAGCATGTTTCAGCTTCACGGTTGCCAGATCTGACGAGCAGGGGAGGCTGCTGATTTATACAATATCTTCCCATGCACCTGTCTTCAGAGTCTCTGAATTTTCCCTAAGCTTTGTTACTTAGGATATATGATTTCTGGGACCTCAAGTAGGGTTTTTGGCATTTCTGTTCTCACCTTGGAAGCAGATGCACAAAGGGAGGTCTGATATAATGGAATTATGAGTAGTTGTCTTAGCCTTAAATGGCACCACAGGAGATACTTTTCTATCAGCGGAAGTTGTACTGCATTTAAATTTAAAAACCTCTCCGTGAAAATGAAATATAGTTCAGTGTAGCTTTGTTTTTTGGTATGCACTGTAAGTGAGAGGAATAATTTTGTAGTAATGCTGATAGTCTGTCCATAAAAGTATGATCCTAATATTTGTCCTTATAGGAAAACTTTTAAAATGCTCCATTGGAAAATGGGCATTTTCCAAAGTTATATCATTTGTATCTCCTCTAAAATATAGGAGTGCATCCAGAATTTTCCACATTCCCTAGACAGAGTAACTGAACAAATCTCTATTTAACATGCTATGTAAAGTAATTATATAATCCTAATGGGTCTGTGGTTCAGTCTGAATATCTGCTATTTGTTCTCTTTCTTCAGTCTCACACGTATTTTTTTCCTTTCAAACCACTTTGTATAGGTAAAAATAGAAATAGCTAAACAGTTCTCATGAGCCCTTAACGGCTTCCAAACTAGTCTGAGGCAGAAGAATTTTCTTCAAAGTTTCATTTTTGTTTTTGCCCAAAAACCTACCACAAACAAGCCCGAAAAAAACTGAATCCGGAAAGTTTCCAGTCTCATGAAACAGATGAATGTCCCAAATGTGGCATTTAGCATAAAAGCATCCTTCCACCCTGGCCCTCAGCTACTTTCACTTTAGCTGGGACTGTGTCCCTGGGGTGGTGGGGTCCCAGTTGTTCTGGGCGCCTCCAGCTGCTGAACAAAACAGCCCCTTCGCCATTCTCCAAAGGGGCAGCAGGAAACAAAACCCCACAGATTGAGCTCAAAATGGGGAAGGGGCGCTTCGGCAGGTGATTCAGATCCCCCGGGCTTACCGCCAGAGGTGGGTGCTGTGAGCAAGAGCGAGCCCTGGCAGAGGAAGAGTAGAGCTGTTCGTCTCCCGCCTGATTCTTTCCATACCTGATGCCGGCGTTCCCTCTTCGCAGCCAGATAACAGCCGCGGTGCTGTGCGAGAGCCTGCCGAGCCAGGAAATGGACAGCCGCGGCCTCTTCCCTCTCTGCGCAGGGCGATTTGGCAAGGAGCGCTGGTTGCTGACTCTTGCCACGTCTTGATTTATGAGCCTGCTTTTCTCCTATAGCTTCCCTGCTGTGGCGGGGCAGTGGGCGAGACTTCGAGGGGAATTACGCTGCTGCTGAGTTTCCATCAGTCTTACATTTCTGGGATGGCACTTGCACGCGTGTGTTTGTATACCTATATCTCTGGGGTGATGACAGGCGCGGTCTAAGAACTGTTCTTGCTATGCAGTAGATTGTTTTTAGTTTAGGTGGAAAGGCTATTCTAAAAATATGTACCATTTTGTAAGTAGCTGTGTTGGATTCTGAAATTCAGCAAGGCAGAAACATGCACCATGACTGAGGGAACTACTGCAGATTACTGAGATTGCAAAAATGGAGATAAATAGTAGGCAACAGAAAAGCAAAGGAATAAGCCCTGAAGTGCAGTGACCATGGTAGTTAATATCAGTTACTCTACTCGCTGGATATTTACGATTTGTATTAACCTATTATACAGCTGGAATACCAAAATCCTAGCACGCAACTAATCTTTTTGCATGGTGCTAGAAGGTATAAAGATTAGCTGAATCTGGATTAATGAGGGCCTAATTAGTTCTGTTTCTAATTCTTTGTTTGATGAGGTGATGTTTGGATAGTTTGAACCTCGTAATGTTCTGTGAAGGCATTTTATTTCTGCAAACCATTTACGCATCTCGAGTCTTAACAGTTAATAATAAAATCAAATTCTGCTGAGTGTGGGTTTGGGGTTGTTTTTTTCTCAATTTTATCTTTTTGTTAACGATGATGCAATCTTTCACTGCTTGGACTTGGTAGATTTTGTTCCATTTTGGAAACATTTTATGTAAGTAATAATTAAAAAGAGGAAGCTTAGGCTCAAGGGTACTAATTCTATGCTGTTTGTTTTCTTACTTATCATTACTGTTTGTGTCCATATTGGTTAGTATATGATTTAGCCTTCATCAAGGGAGAAATAATTAAGCTTCAAAAATCAAGTATATAAGGTCACTATTTTACTTAAAAAATACATATAGTTTATATATGAAAATATATAAATCACTTATATATATAATATCTATAATAAAAAGTTAGAAGGGTGAATCTAGCACAGTGGTCATATTATCTGCGCCTGAGGAAGTCTTGCCGTGGAGTGGAACACGAGTTGCTTAACAACAAGGAAGCTGCTGCAGATGTGAGAGGAAGAACCTGCGTCACCTCGGCCTAAGAGGAAAAGCAAATTCTAGTCGCTGTCGCACCGCAAAATTTAAACCTGAAGGTGTAGATGTCTGTGGACTGCTATCTTGAATAGCTAATCCTAAGAGTCTGGCCGGAGAACAAATAGAAGTGGTGTCCTTTTAAAATGAACAGGACTCACTGGTAGAGTAAATGGAGTTTGCTCAGTTCTAGTCTGGACCGTATAATATTTAACCTGTCTCCCAAAATACCAACAAATCAATTTACCTGATAAAATATTGCAGGACCCCAAGCCACTTAGAAATTTTATATTTTGAAATCAATGCTTTCCATTGAAATTTTAAATACATATCAAGCCACTGAATTCTGTGGGTGAAATACACTATTTGCAACAGCCTACGTAATGAAGTAGGTGTATTCTGTAGTATTTTAGGCTGTGAGGCTCTCTCTTGCTGTTGTTTTCCTCTTCAAGGCACTGATTTTTTTGGCTTGAAGCTATCTCAAAAAGGCCACATTTTGAACTCAGGACAGACCTTGGGGCAGAAGGTATTGCAAGAAGATGCATGTTAAATATCCCTGTACTTGCATCTTCTTTCAACATGCAGCTTGTGCAGCTCTTTACAGAGGATAGCCCCTTTAGGCTGTTTAGGATGGTCCTGAGACTCTTTTTCCCTCACTGAAGCGTGGGCTGTAACAGGCAGCCAGTCATCACTGTTTCCTTTGCTGCTGCTTTTTCCTCCTGCTCCTGAGCTCTGAGGATGACCTGGGGAACGGGAGTCATGTTGCAGCCTGGTCACCCCAGGCCCCCCCGGGCAGCCGTCAGAGAAACCCTGGCTCCCTTGTGCCTTCCTCCCAAAGGGCAGGGCTAGGAGGGGAGTGGGCAGAGATGGTGCTTATTCCTGCTTCATCGTCAAGACAGTACTTGACATCAAAAGCACGAGGTGAAGATGCATGGTCGTTTGCTACGCATGAAGGACTACGGGTTCTGCGGTTCAAGTCTTGCTGCTTTTGACAGCCACTGACTGTGGGATGCATACTGACAGATGCTTTTAAAAAAAAAGTTTTTAAAAAAAAAAAAAAAGGAAGAAGAAGGAGAGCACTTACTTTCCTGATTGTAACTGACTTTCTCAGGTGCTGAAACCACAGATCCCACAGCCTTCTGCCCACTCTCTTTTTCAGGGTCTTCGTCCTGAAGGATGGTGCAAATTTACAATCTTGAGATTGCAAGGGGGAGCTGAGGGAGAATTGCCCAGTATAAGATTCAGGAGACATGAGCCCTGTGGATGCTTGCTGTTTAAAGCATTCTTTAATCTCAAATGCATGGGATTCATTTGCACCTTGAGTGTGTATGCAGTGGTGTAGTCACTGCTCTTTCCCATTGATTAGCAGTGAGTTGCTGTGCTTGGCTTCCCACCTAATGTGCAGATTATGCTATTAGTCAACAGAGGAGCGATGCATATATTCAGAAGAGACGTTCAGGAAGGATTCACCTTTGGCCAGGTAATGTTTGCCTCTGAGAACCTAGCCTAGCATTTTCTGTTCTGCGGAAAAGAGATGCTAAGGCTGTCGCCAGTAACCGGGGGCTTCACTAAGCGCACAGCTCTCAACTTCCTTAGTTCTTAAAGAACTAAGTTCTTCTTAAATCTGCTTCATCTTTGCATTAATTCACCAAATCTGTTTTTCAGGAGAGCTGTTTTTCAGGATGAGAACACTCTGAATAGAAAAAACATATATATATAGTTTAAGGTGGCTTACTCATTGAACTGTAAAAATGTTCCATATCCCGTTGGTCTCTCTTGTATGCTGCTCTGTATCTACCTGGCCTAGGTCAGTATATGTCAGCTTGTACATAAAATGTTGTTATACTGTCCTTGAAGACGAGATAGCAGGTGAAACATCCTAGCTGTGTCCACAGAGATCCAAGTCCCTTCCTGTAGATTGCAATAAAATAGCAATTGAATCTGAGCTGAAATCTGAACTGTGGCATAGCGGTTCTCACATGGCCACTCATTTGGTAATGTTAGCAAAGGTTTATTGGACACTGTTCCCTGCTCTCAGAACTGGCAAAAACAATCCTCTGTTGACTATCTTCATCTGACTCTTCTTTCTTCAAAGACGTCAGAGGGAAAAAAAAAAAAAACTACCTGCTGATGACCTTGGATCAATTTTTGTGTGCGATGATAAGAAATCTGTGGAGACAAAGAAAATCTTGTTTACTTGAACTAGAGCCTTATAAAATGTCTACTGGATGCTTTTTTAAGGCGATGTTCGTATCATCGGACTTTAGCAGTTGGGATGCAGGTTCTGAGTCAAAGCGCAAGGGTTAGCTATAGGTGCATGAGTTTGGTGTCTGGGCTTCTGCTAGATTCAGTGGAGATCTATCTATACTGTCCATGGAGCTTAGAGTGTGATTCAGCAAATCCAGTGTACGTGGCTGCTTTTAGGGTGACGAGTGGCTCTCTAGGCTCCACTAACTGTAGGGACTTCACCTCCATTGACTGTAGTGCGAGCGTAGGCACTTGTAGGTTTCCAATTTTAGGTGACCAAATCTGAATCCAGATCCCAGTCCCACCCTAGGGGCCTGAGTCAGTAGGCTGCACCTGGTGCCATTTGAGATATTGCAGGGTTTTTTGGCTCGCTTCCAGTCTGGAAGGATCTGGCTCTCCCATGGGCTGTGCATCAGACCTGTCACCCACGCAGGTGTCTCACATACCCACCAGTGTCTGAAACAGCCCTTGGCCTCTGAGTAGCTCAGCTAACCCCCAGGTGGAGCCCCAAATGCATCCCAGTGAGATAATGCAAATTCTCTTTTTAGTATGTATAAAGACATAGGCCTTGCTGAATTAATTTAGATTTCTGTGCCTTGCAAGTACCTGTTTCTGCACTGAGTATGACAGATGACTGGATCACAGGTAGAGGTCATCACCGTTGGAACCTTAACAGTTAAGCGAGATATACACCGTCCCTTCTCCAAAGCGCCCAGTAATTTCCTTGAGCATTTCTTTGGACTTGATAAACTCACTGTCTTTGAATATCACATTTTTATACATTATTTAACAGCTGGAATACATGTTCCCCTTTTGTTTGTAAGGCACACTGGCATACTTGTCTGTTGCACAGCAACATGTAACTAACTTCTTTTCATGACAACTGCTTTTTATGATTTCTGAGTAGGAGTGTTTGGCTCCTGTAATTTCCAGCTGAAAGTTGAGATGATTCCTTATTTATAGACAGTGAAGGGAGAAGAGAAGAAGCAACTTTCGGCTAGGATTCAAAACTCTCTTTTTATGCTGAATATACAGAAGGTTTAGTTAAGAATTTACTTTTATTAATGTACTGTTTATTATTTTACCATCTTAATAGGTTCAGAAATACCTGTTACCTTGCAGCACCAGGGGATAGATAAGCTATATCAACCTACTAGGTCCTTTGTGCTTCCAATTTATGTGGTCCGGTGGAAGGCTATACCAGTGGATGCCAGTGATAAACACAGGTTTACTCTAAGAGAAGTGGTTTATGGCATGTTGCTGGCTGGAGCAATTCTACTTGAGATAAGTATCCTGGGAGTTCCCAGAGCTGTCTTCCTGGATGACACATGCAGGAATTCTCATCAATACGTAGCTTTTTTAATCTTTCCTGCAGTTTATGAAGGTCTGTAATACAAAGAGAAAGATGGCAAGAAAATAAAACAGCATGTAGAGACACTTCTGAAATATTTATAAAGATTTTCACCCTTGGATAAGCAGGTTTTTTAAAGTTATATTTTATCACATTGCGTTTTCTTCCTTTCAGCCAAGGAGTATTGCAAAGTGATATTTCCATACGAAGCGCAGAACGATGATGAACTCACAATCCGGGAAGGCGACGTCGTCACACTTATCAGTAAGGTAAAAGCAACATTTTCCTCCTATAAGCAGGGATGCAGGTTTTAAATTAGATATCATTCAGTTGCCATGTAAACAATCAAATCCCTATTTGTCCCTTTGACAGTTTCCTCCTTAAAACAATGGTATTTTGGCAAGGAAGCATTTATAGATTTCAGAGAGCTATGTCTTCCTTCCTCTTGTGCTTCAAGGCCTCGCCTGGATAAGGTTAAGCAAAGAACAGCATGTGTGCACTCATGAGTTTACAGGTGTTTATGTGATCAATTTTAATTTGAATCCACTGACCGATCTACATAAATTGTAAATAGATCCCTTTAACAAAGGTAACAGCGTCAAGAGTAAACTGGAAGACTTAAGAGAGCAGCATCTTTGCAGCTCTTTATGTGAAGTATGTGAATTATCTTTCTTGTAGGAATTGTGAATGGCGATAACGGGCTTTAATTATTTTAACGTTAGACATTTATTTTCTTTAGCGCAATAAATGTGAGGTATATAGAAACTATTTGCTGTTGAAATTAGGATCACTTGGAGCTGAAACAGTTTGGTTTCATTCCCCTTTCCTTTTTTATTTGCTGTCTAATTGCACAAAACAGTTTAATTCTGTAAAGATGGAGATAGTGCTGACAGTCTTGCTTATTGAAGCAGTTAAGGAGATGTCAGAATCATTTCCATGGTTAATCCTAAATCCTCACTTCAAGCAACTCTTGAGAGACAGAGCCAGACATCTTCAATAAATGCATATAGTCTAGCCTGAGATCTCAAATAAGTAAAAAGGTTTAAAATATTTGAGAGATTTGGCAACTCGGTCAGTAGGCAAAACTAAGCAAGTTTATGGTAGCTTTTAATAATGTTATATAAAATATATAATAATGTTATATAAAATAGCTGGTAAATCCAGCAGCTTTTCCCTTTATCTATCCTTTCTTGTTTTTGGTTGTATTTATGTATTTGCATTCAGCATTTTTATTTAGCATGCTCTCCTATAAACTTTCACATCCTTGTTTACAAACAAAATACAGTTTGGACAGTAATGCAGGACAGTGTTGTCTTTTATGTCTGTCAAATACATGACATGAAGTATTTCACAGATTCTTAGCCACTGGCACAGAAAACAATAAGTTTTGTAAAATCACAAAGACACAAGAGTTAGAACAAAATTAAGCTTTTGAGATAATAATATCTCTTTAGCATTCCACAGGAAAATGAACTTCTGTATTTTGCAGGCAGTTTTAATTTCAACTCTGCAAAATTAATATACTGTTAATCTAAGTCTTTTATTTTAGAATATTTAGGACTGAACATATCAAAGGACTGATTTTCTGTTAGGTTCACTTAATTTCTTACTCTTGTTTAAAGACTTCAGAGTTTGTTTAAATTTGACTCCTGGAAATAAGTATTTGGAAAAAAGGTACAAACTAGGAAAGACTGTGGATTTTGTGTGGTGAAGATGAATTCTAATAGTGTGCACAATAGTCTCTTTGTGCTTATACGCAGATAAAAGCAGAAACTCTAAAATTGATAAGTTTCATATGAAATTACTTAGCAATTTGGCACTTGGGGGAAAAAAAGCAAAGACCCTGAGAAATAATTCTGCGGCAATGTTGAGTATATATTAAGCTGTCTGCAAACTGAGAGGATGTCACCTTTGTCCTCAAGAATGCATAACATGTAATTGAGGAAAAATAATCATGCATTGGTAGGAAAAGGACCTGTGAATTAAAAAGATAAATTGTGCATATAAAAAAAAATGCGTAAATGGTTCCTGAAGTTTGACAGCGTGAACATATTTCTTATAAGCCTCACTGCGGTGACCTTAATTTGAACAGAAGGGGTGGGCAGCTTGTAGGCAACATCCCAGGTAAAAGTGTGCAAATCCAGGGAGAGGGTGTTTTACGACACCCCAGACTTCCACTTCGGCACAGACATTTATGCTGAAAAACTCAAACGTGTCTAAAGCATGGGTGTGTGTGATTGCATTTTCTCACCTACCGTTCTTTTTCACATCTCTGTTTTTTCACTCTCGTTTCTACTAGAATTAGGAAAATCCACAGAGCTGCCAAATGAATCCAGCCAAGCTGCCCTTTTTCTATTCCACTACTCTACAGATATTTTCTTCCTTAGCGATGTAACTACTAGAATTGCTATGCTAGAGGTGCACCTTGCATACTAGAATTTATTCTTAGTGCAAATTGAATTGTTCTTTTCAGTTATAGAACGTGTCATTTCTCTTGTTTCACATAGGTTAAAGGTAATTAAAATGAATCATTGCTGTGTGTAAAAGCGTTTGGTACTTTATTATTCCATTTTCTTTATACTTTTTGTGGCCTTTCCATTAACTTAGTGCTTGTCCTTAAAGACTTTTTTTGTTTAGCTTGTCTTGACAATTGTTTGGCTTTGTCTAATTTAAAATGTTCTTATGTAATTATTTAACAGTGTCTCTGATCATGGAAATGGCTTTTAAAAATTTGTTCCTGTCCACTTTACCCTTTATTGACTAGGCTGAGGTGGCTGGTCTCCAAGTGAAGCTGTGTTCTCTACTATATGTAGGTAGAGACAGCTGTCCCATTGAGGTTTCAATATGAGATTTCATTTGCTTTCATTTTCCCATTCTCTTCTTCCTGCTTCCACTGCCCCCACAGTGGAAGTATATTTTTATATACTACTTTATATATATAAAAGTATACTTTTATAGCAGCTGAGCCGATACTTTGACTTAACCGATCAATTTTCCCAACCTGCAGTGAGCAGTTTATCAATAGATAATCTGGTATATCCCACTGTCCTCCTACTCTCTAATCCGATGGTATCAAGCCACTGCAGACATTTTATTTAATCGTTTTCTTTTTCCTGTGGCTTATCACATGTCCACGAACAATTAGATAAAACCATGCCTCTGGAGAGTGGAGGATCTCAATGCAAAAGGGCTTAGCACTTCTCCATAGATGCTTTTATATGCTTTGTCTGAGCTCATCTGAGATACTGAAGAAACAGTGCTTAACAAGCAGTCACTTTGCAGATCTTTTTGTGGTTTGCAGACCTCTTTGCAGACAGGTTTGTGGAATTTTTTCCATTTGTTTTTGATATATAGTTTAAAAGATGGACTTCTAAGTGATCTGGAGCCAGGTTCTTTGCTGTAAAGTACTGAAAAACGTGGGATCTCCTCCCTGCTTTTACCACAGAATATAGTAATTTCATGTTAGCCCAAATCTTCCAAAGCAGGTGTCCATCACCGTTTCTTTTTAATCAGCAGCGGCAAAGTCAGCCTCTGGGTTCTGCCCAGTAATGGCTTTTGCTAGAGAGTTGTCTTTCAGCCAGAATTCAAATCACCGTGCTTAGAGAGTCCTCTTCCTAACCAGAGTTAGTGACCCATATTAAGTGGAATTAAATAGAAATGTACGGAGTCCTTCAGAAACTAATACCGTGGTTTTGCTTTGCCATCAGATTACAGCTGCTATTAGTCTGTTTGTAAGAAAGTAATTTGCAGGCTTGGCCTTCTGTTCTAGAGTGCACAAGACAAAATTGACTCTTCCCAATTACCTACAGCCAAAGAGAGAAGATCATTACTTTTAATGAAAGAAGAGATGAGTGGAGTGCTTCCTAAAACTACGGAGGCATTATCATAAAATAATGCGTTTTGTTGAGATCAGCAATACCTGAAAATGGTACGTATTCGTAGTATGAAAAGTAACTCATTCGGCCAATTGACACACAAATGCACAAAGCACATCAGAAGACTTCTAAAAGCAAGAAGATGAGATAGCACTTGATATATACTATATAAGAGAGGAGATCTTAAATGAGCTACATGGTAAGTCACTAAGAGGGCCTCTGTGTGTGCACCTGCACATGTGAGAATACCTGTGTGAGGAAGTTCCTATTTTTGTGGAAAGATAAATGGTATCAGTCAATGGTGAATTCAAAATCACCATTTTAACAGTGCCCTTATAGATGGAAGGGGTAAGATTATATCACATTTCTCTCTTTTTTTTTCGGTTAAAGTAGTTATAGTCCCTATAATCCCATTACAGGCAAAGTCCCCTTGTCGAGATCACCAAATAGCTATATAATATAAAGAATAAACAAATATTTTTTTTCTGTAGACTTTCAGCAGGCCTTTACACACTCTGTTTCAAAGTCCTCACTCTGCTTTGATGGCTGTTGGGATATTCAATCAAAAGTTGATTAGATCTCCCCTCTAGGCCTCTGTGATAAGGGAATTTGAATATCTGATGGTTTTATGAAATCTGTAAACAGATATGTTGACTCACAAATGACTTCCCCAGTCACTTGATGGTAAGTTTCATTTAAAGACTTCAGTGAGTCAGAAGAGGCTGATCTGTTAACTGGTGAAAAGGCTGGGTATTTTGGGAGATGTAATGGGAAGAATGCCACTATGCAGGACAGATAGCCAGAAATAATAGCTGATTAAACAACACATTGAGTCATTTCTCAGTGAACTGTGTAGGCCTAAATCGTGCACAAAATACCCAATCGGAAGCATATGGTAGTAACAGTTGTTATCTCATAGGTGAAATTTCACCTGGAAGTCGATACCAAAGGGAGAAGTTAATAACTTCACATAAACGCATTCCAAAAATATCTGGAAAAGCTTTTTCTCTCCTCCTTTTCCCCTCTGAAGTGAATCCCTGAGTAGACACATAGAAAAGGTTTTATTTATTAATTGCTGGAAGGGGAGCAAATGGTAGCTCTTCAATTCCTTTATGCAAGATATTTAAAAATAAGAGGATCAGACAATATTGTTCAAAATTCTAAAGGGAATTTTTTTATGCCTTCATCCTGACGGCAGTCAAACAGTAGACTTCTTATCTTTACTTCCCAGCAAAGGTGAAAGAAAAACACACTTCTTGAAGAAAGAGAACCAAAAGCAAAACGTAGTAGTGTTACTTCTATAGTTAAGGTGATTGTTGTGAAAGTAGGTGATAAGATAATTTCATTAGCTGAAAAGATATGAATTGCAGGAGGCCTTGAGATTCACACTGAAA